TAGCACTTACCCGAGCCCCGGAATCAAACTCCATTCTAACATTATACCCATTCAATTCTACATCTATTGTAGCTCTGGGAACCTTACTCTTAACTGACCTAATTTGTGTTCCGCTAACATCAATATCAGAACTACACTCATCATCGTAAGTTAGACCACAAGAATCATCTACTTTTCTCAAATTACCGTCTGTTCTCTTGACAAAATTATTTTTACTTTTGCACATTCTTGCGAAGTGGCCTCTCTTCGAACATTTCTTGCACACAGCAGAAACAGCAGGACACCTATCTTCACTAGGGTCATGTGTAAACCCGCATCTATAACATCTATTGAAACCAGTAGATTTCTGTACCTCTGGTTTCCTATTTTCCTTACTGTCACTTACTTTGAAAATCTCATTTTTACACGAATGTTTGGAAACTTCTTCTCTCGCACGTTCCATAGATTGAGCTAACTCTAGTACTACTGTTGACTTAACACGCTCACCTCGGTTATCAACTCCCTCGGGCCATCTTTGTCTGACTTCTACTTCAAATTCTGGACAGTTGCTTCCTACTGCAAACCTATCTCGTACTCGTTCATCTAAGCTATCTCCATATTTACAACTTCTAGCCAAAGACTTCAATCTATTATAAAACAAAATAAATGTCTCACCATCTTTTCTTATTGCTCTTTCAAACTCAAACCTTGTTGCAAAAAGGGTCCTTGTAGGCTTGAACAACCGGTTGGCTTCCTCTTTGACTTCGTCGTAGGTGCACTCCTCCCAGGCCCTTGGATACATCTGGTCCGACAGTGCCCTGAGGTGCTCCTCTCCGATATTTGCCAATAGAAGATCTCGCCGAGCAGCTTGTTCATCTGTGTTAGCACCACCCAGTCCCTTAACTCTGCAGGTCAACTCAAAACGAGTTATGTAGTCTTCCCACAACTGTTCACTATTATACTCTTTAAATGAAAATCTGCTCATTCTATCTTGTATGCAAGACATGTTACTACAGTCAATTACACTCTTATACTGAGACTGGTCTGTTTTCCTAGGCATTTTCTCGTCGCCAATATAGAATAATTAATTATTAAAACTCATTTTAAGTAAACTAAATCAATACTATTTATTTACAAGAACAAACAATAATGTAAACAAACCAAATGGCAGATGATTCATAACTTTATAACTCAGCTGATAATAATAATCCTACAGTAACATAGATTAATAACGTTGTCCATATAAATGATTTTGAATGATTTTACATGATTCTTTTAGCACTTTTATGACTATTTCATTTTTTAATTTTGATGGAAGATTATATTTTTTTAAAAATTCGTCAAAAAATTTTTTAATAGTCCCTCTTGCACCAATCATTATGCCAATTACTGATATTGAATTTAGATTATATTTGTTTCTTAAATAAGTTTCACATTTACTATAAATTTTCCTCTTTTCTTCATCTACTTCTAGGGGTTGGTTTGATGATGTTTCGAACCTTATTGTTGGATCAATTACAATTCCACTTTTAGATTTTGTATCATAAATTAAAATGTCCAATCTTCTGTTCGATCCACCATCTTCAGTGCAATGTATTTCTTCTACTACTTGCCAGCCTTTTTTTCGTAGTTCTTCTGCCATCATTGCTCTTACAGCATGGTGTCTTGCATTACGCAGTAAGGCACCAAAGGGACAACAAATAGTACAACATAGGTAACAATTACGGTTCAAAAGTTATTGTAACTTTTGTAATTTTTAACTATAAAATATATCATATTTATTCTCACCGCATGAAAAAGGTTGTTGACAAGCTTATGGGAGAAAGTATATTCTGTCAGAATGCTGATACTGTTTATTTATTATTATCTTGCAAATACTGTCATGGCAACCAATTAACACATAAGGCCCATGTTAAATTTCAAAAAGTTTATATTCGTCTAGGGAAAAGCCCCGTTTGTCTGATTTGTACCATTTCAGATTTATAACTTGCCATAGTTGGTTACTATGTCTGCGCTAAATTTGGTGCTGATCCCTTCAGCCATTCAGGAGCAGTATTTGTAAAACAAAAGCGGGAGTGTAGTATAAGAGCTTATCACCCCCTTTGCTCACTCCGCTCAACAAATATTTTCTCCATAAGGATATGTGTGTGTGTGTGTGTGTGTGTGTCCATTAGCACGATAACTCGAGCAAAAATAATCTGATTTTGATGAAATTTGGTACAAACTTGTAAACCTACATTTGTTTGAACGAATTTGCGAACCAGCATGGCCGGACTATGGGATTGGAAACGGGGGTCTATGGTCTATGGGGGTTTTATAGAGTAAAAATTGGGTTTTCCCATTTTCACCCTAAAAACATAACACTTCTCATTTGTTTCTAAACAGTTTTGTAGACACCTTAAAAAAGAAATGATTTAGTATATGGAAACGTTGTTTTTTACCTAACAATCACAGAAAAAAGGTTCTAAATTAAAAATTCATATTTTATTCTTATGGAGAATAAATTAACTGTGGTACCTGTATGCTTACTATGCTTGTTTATGGATATATTTTTATCAAATTTGGCAATTTTGTTTATTTCATACTAAGCTATCAACATTCCAAAAATCACAGTTTTACCTTCCCTGTAGCAGCAAACCTAAGTACTCATTCAAATTATTTATAGAGGAAAAATAAGTATAACAATTTTAAGGAAATATTTCAGTGGAAATCCCAACCGACAAATGGAAATTGGCTTAGTCTACAGTTTTGCTGGGCAGAAAGGGGGGGAGGGACTTATCCTTACGCTGATAAAAAACTTGTGATGGAATTTTACTCTGTAGTTACCAAGGAACAAATTTCTTATTAAGTCATTTGGTACAACCAAAATAACAAAGTTAATTAAATGCATTAGAACAATTTTATCAGAGGTCTCTTTGATATAGTAAAGGGTTTGATATTGAATCGCCCCCAAAAAATACTAATTTCTCATTTGAGAAAATTCCCTCTTCAGTTTAACTAACAAAGATCATTAGAATTATAGAAGGTGCCAAAATCCATGTCTAACAGCATGACAGGGACGTATTTAACTATCTGCCGCCTGTAGGCAGGGAACAAGTTAGCCGCCCCCTCCCCCGACCCTTGTCAGTGCGCTCACCAACCACAATAAAATTACCCCAAAATTACCCTAAAATTACCCTGTTTTTGTAGAAAAGTAATTGGCAATTGCATGCTGCATCAATAAATGTAATCAAATTTTGAACCCTCTTTTACGGACCTTTTTGTTTTCCATTTTTTGTTTGAACATGGAATGCAATGTTGTTGTATCCAATCAGGAAAGTCATAATCGCTACATCTAACGGAAGCCGATTCGTTGGTCAAAATTGTGGGCTACTGGGATGTTGTAGAATGACAAGAGAGGGCTCAAATTAAAGGTCTCTATCCCGTGACGGCGGGAAAAATAGTGGAAATCCCAAAATTGTTACCGAAATTTATATAACGTAAAATGTTCTCCATTGGAATAGCATTGGAAGCCATACAAAGCTGATTTTTGTTTACCGTACTTCAATATAGTTGAACACGTATTCAATACAGAATACACACAGCTGGTTTACTTCTTAGCCAGTTAACTGTATAATGCACTGTATACTATATTAAAACCAGGGATAACGTTATCTATAATTGAGACTTTTTGAAAACCAAAAACCAAACCAGAGATTTTCGTGTCAACAGTCAATATTTGGCTTCAACGATAGCCTGTCTATATTGGGTAATGGAACCCTAAAACCATAAAATACTACTAAATGTGGCTAATAAAACTGTTCATTTTGTATAGTGCTTATTTACTTCCCCTGAGTTTCATCACGATCGGATGGTCGTTTAGTAATGCATAAATGACATATATTGGATTTCATATACAATATAATGTCCTTTATAGATAACAACAACCAAAGCAATCAGTGCGACTTTTTTAGACAAATATATGGTGTATAGGCATATCCATCTTGACAAAAAAAAATTGATTCTTAGTTTGTTTAAATATTAAAATAAGATGTATTACATTTTGAGCTTTTTAGGGACTTATGTCCCTACATGACCCTAGTTTCTTTCAAAAGCCTTAGCGGAGGGATTTTATTAGGTTTTTTAATTGGACATTTGGACGTCAAGTTCGAGTTTAATATAATTTTTGTTCTCATCTTAGCTGGGGTTTTCTTTATTTTTCTTGTCTTACCTTGACACTTTCAATATAGGATTTATGGTGTAGGCCTACAAGCTCATCAAAGAAGCTATCTTCAACATCTGATAAGTGATGAGATCCATCACCAGCTTCTCTTAGTTTATGTCCTTATTACAGATGTCAATGTCATACGTAGTAACGAACGATAGCAGGGGGAGGTAGGTCTACACTATGCGTACGCAGCGGCCGGCAACCCACGGCCGCAACTGCGACGTGTCCGCCAGACCGACAGGGCAACACGGAACAGACGGCAAAGCCATATAATAAATTATAAACTTTGACTTTAATGTGTTCTGAAAACATTTTATACTCAATCAAAGTATTAAAAATATCATTTTTGCAGTTCTGAAAATTAATTTCTCAACATTTAAGTACTTTTTTTTAGATAAACACCTTTTTGATAATTATCTGCCAAAATTTTGCCGCCCCTAAAATTTGCCGCCCTAGGCACGCGCCTAGTCTGCCTATTCGGAAATATGTCCCTGCAGCATGATAATGAGCCTTAAATTAAGTCTGCTGTATAAATCTTTAGCCTCCCAAAATCTATATGGTTAAAATTTAGTTATGTTACTTGGTTAAATTTATTCACAACTTTATAATAAATTGTTGAATTTAACTCTACAAGTCTCATACTTTGTGTTAGGTTAGCTAAACTAAATTTTGCTTACTTTTGTTGTAAGGTTTGTTAATGCAATGGATAGAAAAGAAAGAGAAGAAACAACTATTATATTGACAACTTAAGTTTATTTACAAATATATTCAACAATACAAATAACTCATTAAGGAAACAGACTTAATTTAGCTATCTGAAGCAAAGAATATATTTTTTACTATGAGTAAATTACACACAAACATTACTAACTTGCAAAACATTAAAAAACAAATTAATACTAACATTTAAAACAAACATGATCTATTTCCTCAGTGAGCAATAAATTAATTCATATCAGTCTTACACAAGGTTTTAGACCTCTAATCTTACTTCTTCTTCTCCTCTTCCTGCTGTGGTTGAGGTTCGGCTGCTTTGACAACTGGAGCGTTGGTTTGTGTGATCGGAATATTCCTGGCGTTCTTCTCCTGGAGTTTCTTAGGAGCGTGCAACTGCAGAACTCCGTCAGAAGACAACGTAGTTTGCAGCGCACTGGTGTCGACATCGTCTGGCAGGCAGTAACGACGAGTGAACTGTCGAGAGACAAACCCGTGGTTGTCTCGACGCTCCTCGTGCTTTCCCTCAACAACCACAAAGTTGTCGACGACTTTCACTGACAATTCTTCAGGCTTGAACTGTTGGACGTCCAAACTCACCTGAACAGTAAATATTATGTTAGGGTACATCAATCTATGTAGATGGTATACTAAATGGTAGATGGTGAGTCGGTGGCTCAGTTGGTAGTGCCATGGACTTCAGGCCCAAATGACAGCAATGTCGTGGGTTCGGATCCTTTGGTACCTGCTACTACTTTTTATCAGTACAGTTTACTCTTCTATCTCCCAGCTCACCTCTTACTTCACTGGATATGTTCCACACAAATGCCTTTGTGGCCCATGTGGACAGGCAAATGCAAAATCAAAGAATTCTCCAACCCCTTAAATAAAAAAAAATCTTTTTTTTATTCTTGGGTCACATAAGAAAATTTTGAAAACAGTTTCTATTATTGAAAGAGTTCACAAACCAGCTAAACTGAACTAAACACACATTCAGCGATTGAGAGCGGAGTGGGCGGGACAATCCAGAGAGAGCTAAAGCAGAGCAACTGAAGTCACACACATACAGCGACTAGTGAGAGCGAGAGTGACACGAATGGGAGCTCGATTAGTTCCGAGATGTCACAAAGATTAGTAAGTTTGCACGCAATTTGCAGCACAGCGAAAACAATAAATTTGGTTTAAAACATTCATTTTGCATGCTTCAAACCGTTTGGAGGGGGTTCATAGAGTGAATGAAGGAAGGGAGGTGAATGGTGAATATCACCATTTGTTGCCAGTTCTTAAGAAGCATGAATCACGATTCATGCAATACATGCGTATGTCTATACTCATGTTAGACTGCTGTAACTTAACCAAAACAATTATTATCACAAAATTCATGTTGGCCTATTATATAGATGTATATATATGACAATGACCTTTGCACAGTGACTAGAGCAGACTGGCTCAAGACAAAGTAGTTGCCCGCTACACTTCCAATCGCTCAAAAAAAACAAAAAACGAGATTGTTCCAAAGTTAACCAATTCGCTACGCTTCTAACAGCTGTTTGTGTGTGCTACTACTTGAATGTATGGGTTTGATTTTGTCGCTCTAAATCACGCCGCTCCGCTCTGACCTGCTCTGCTCCCAAAACCTTTTTTTAAAAAAAATCATTGATTACTGTGATGTTTAAAGTTCTAAATGTATTACATTGTCTTAGATGTTATCATACAAAATGATCTATTGATAACATATATAGGGTGCTTCAATATTTAAAATTTTTGTAGAACGCCAATTGTATCTAAGAGGATAGATTTATCTTTAAACTTTTACTTTACAAACCTTTATAACTTGAATTGCAATTGAATAGATTATCCTTGGGTAAAATTCACTTTTTAAAATTTGTAAAACTATTTCGTCTAGTTACCTTAAAGTTGTTCTTATCATTGACAATGGATGCGCCAGGCTCCAGTTGGTTTAACAGTTTCCAGGGCTGCATTTCCAGCATGGACGGTGTAAGAGGCATCCCGAAGTACTGGTCGTACATCCTTGGGCGCTCAAGTTCGCGGATCAAGTCTCGCATTAGGTACGGAACTAGCGACATCTGCAACAGTTGACTTTAGATTAACATTCTCTCTTGTTGATGTTATAATCCTTATGGATCAGAGCCGATGATTGTAGATACTTTTCCATATGCTTTTGTTGTCAACTACTTGTTTCTTGTTACAACTACATCAACATTCAACGTATGTTCGTTTTAAGTTTGCTTGAATAATGGTTCAATATGACAAAAAATATAGTTCATCACACGTGCATAAGTGTCTTTTTAACCCTCGCCCGTGAAACTTGAGCTCAGATCGAAAAGAGTCACTTTACGCCCTAGTGATGGAGTATACTATTAAGAATGCTTGTTCAAGGGTTTCTAGAAAGTGACAGACGTTTAGGCCTGGCGTGGCAGTGGGCTGGACTACGACTCCATCTTGGCATCAAAGTGTTCCCTACACTCAATACGCAATCGATTATGGTAAAAAACCAATTTTTATGCATTAAAAAACGACAATTATAAAACCATATTGGATAAAATGTTATCTAACTACTTCTAAATCTACTTGCATGCTTTGTATAGTGTTTGAAAATGAGTGGATTCCTTACATGGTAAGAGCGTGTGTGTGGTTTTTGAAACAAACCCTGAGAAGATATTCTGCTAAGGGGTTTCAACTTCTTGAAAATTGAGCTGGTGGTAGAACGCATGACGGGCATAAGGGACATTGTGTTTTTGGTACCTAAAAAAGGTGACAATACTTGTTATTTTTTACTACATTGTAATTTGGTAATTTGATCCCATAAATTGGCAAATAGGCCTAACGTTTAATAGATGAGTGAACGAAGTGAACGAATCTATGTATCGTGTATAGCGGAGTCGGAGAAAAGTTGTCCGCTTGTCTGTGAGTGAGTCTGTGTGTTCGCACCAAAAATTTAAGAACCGTCGCACTTATAGCGTTCAAATTTTGCACAAATAATTATGACACCAGTGGGAAGACACCATTAAAATACTAGACGATTCCGCTCAGTATTAATTATAAAATACTTAAAAAACAGTTTTAAATTCGTCCCATAAGAATAACATTAGGAGCTACATTCTTCTTCTTTTTATTTGTTTACGTTTTGCGACCAACAATTTTTTTGTCTACTTAAGACAGAGAGAACTACTTTTACTCTAAGCTCTTTTATTCATGTAGTAAACAGTTTGGCGTCTATGAATATATATCATTATAATTTCACAGCTTTCAGAATAATGTTATTTAAGCTAATTAATTTTCACAACTTTCAGATTTAATAAATTGAACTTAACAATATTAGTCGGCAGTTATATACAGTTTATGTTCAGTATTAAAATTCACCTTTAAATTAAAAATATATATGCATGTATTTAGAACAAAGCAGCTTTTTACATTATTCAATTTAATGTTGGCATTGAATATTAAATATTCAAAGATGTTGGTATATCTTTAACTAAAAAGCTATGCGAGGGGGGGGGACAGGTCCACGACGTAGAGGGTGGTAAAGGAAGCGGAAAGGTGAGCAATGAAAAGAAAGGAGTACGGAAACCCTTTATGACTGTTAAATAAATGTATCTGTAATACTTAAATGCTATGGAAATATAGGGAAATATAGGTCTACGATGTAGAGAGTAGTGAAGGAAGTAGTCAAGGCGAGCGCTGCGGAGTGTGGGAAGCCTTTGTGACAGTTAGAATAATGTATCTGCAATAATAACATTCTATGGGAAGGGAGGGAATCAGGTCCACGACGTAAGTAGTGGTGAAGGAAGTAGTCAAGGCTAGCAGTCCGGATTGTGGGAACCCTTTGTGGCAGTTAGATTAATGTACCTGCAATACTAAAATGCTATGGGAAGGGAGGAAAACATCTACACGACGTAGGAAGTGATAAAGGAAGTAGTCAAGGCGAGCGCTGCGGAGTGTGGGAAGCCTTTGTGACAGTTAGAATAATGTATCTGCAATAATAACATTCTATGGGAAGGGAGGGAATCAGGTCCACGACGTAAGTAGTGGTGAAGGAAGTAGTCAAGGCTAGCAGTCCGGATTGTGGGAACCCCCATGTAGCACAGAGGGTTGGGCCAACGTTGGTAAATTGTGGAGCCACACAGTTGGCCAACGGTAAAAATGTCACCTCTTTAAACTGTTTTCCAACCAACCATTGTCCAACAATGGCCCAACTATCTAAAAATACTGATGGCCAACTAACCATAACACAACTGATATCCAACCAACCGTTTTATTTAACACAAAATATTAAAGATTTAGTATGAAAAGCATAATTATTAGTTGGGTAAATTGTTTAAATAGTTCATAAAAACAAATTTTGAAAAAAAGCTAGAACAAAATTTTTTGGCCCAGACGGGTCTTGAACCCGGGCCCTTCGACTTATGAGCCTCTTGCCTTACCATTGAGCTATCTGTGATTGTTGATACAGAGAGTTTTCAAGTGGTATAAGAGTAGCCGACAGTTGCAATGGTCGCAATACTTAAAACAATTTTGATACTACACAGTATAATATGATTCTGTTAATCTGTTAAGGCATCATAAGTAGTTATTATTTTTTTGGGGGGGGGGGGGAGTTAGAGAGGATACTGGTATTTGAATATAGATTATTTAATTACCGTTAGATTATTAATGCTAGTATAATTGACTGTTATATGATTAATTACTCTTTCCCCTTAAATTGTTGCAAATAAGTTAAAGAATATTAGTTGATCCAGAGAATGAAAGTCGTGTAAAACTCAACTATGGACCATCGTTGGTCCAACAAAAGTACCTTTTGTTGGTCCAACGGAGTGAAAAACGGTTGGACAACGGTTGGCTTGATGTATGATACCCAGCAATGCATATTAATGTATTTCATTAACAATGAACCAATGTTGGTCCACAGTTGTAAATATTGGTTGGCCCAACTACGAGATATACAGTTGGACAACGGTTGGTTGGTTGTGGAAGCTCCAACCAACCATCGACCAACTGTTCCACAGTTGGCCAACGTTGGCCCAACCATCTGTGCTACATGGGCCCTTTGTGGCAGTTAGATTAATGTACCTGCAATACTAAAATGCTATGGGAAGGGAGGAAAACATCTACACGACGTAGGAAGTGATAAAGGAAGTAGTCAAGGCAAGGTGGGAAATGCGGAGTGTGGGAACCATTTGGTGACAGTTAGATTTATGTATCTGCAATGAAACAGTTACAATACTAAAATGCTATGGAAAGGGTGGGAAACAGGTCAATGGAGTAGTAAGTGGTGAATGAAGTAGTCAAGGCGAGCAGTGCGGAGTGTGGGTACCGTTGGTGGCAGTTAGATTAATGCATCTGCAATACCAAAAGGCTATGGGAAGGGAGGAAAACAGGTCCACGTCGTAGGAAGTGGGGAAGGATTTGGTAAATGCGAGAAGTTCTGAGTTTGGGAAAAGTTTGTGGTAGTTAGATTAATGTACATTCATTACTAAAATGCTGGGGGAAGGGAGGGAAACAGGTCCACGACGTAGGTAGTGGCGATGGAAGTGGTAAATTCGAGCAGTGCGGAGTGTGGGAACCGTTTATGACATTTAGATTCATTAGTTAGATGAACATTTATTGGATTTTTAATCATTTTTAGATGATATAATAGCGCTATCGTTGATATAAATCATCATTGTAAGCAATACGTATTTTTTTTGGAGATTCCTTACACTGTGCTTTAGCAATTTATTTAAGTTAGAATAGTTCAGTTTGGCTTAGTTTTGTTTATGATAGGCTTCATAACAAATATGGAAATAGGTTTTATTAAATCAAAAGACGTTTTGTACAGGAACGATGGATTTACCTCCTATCTATAACTGTTGGAAATCCATTGCGTTTATTACCAATGACTTTGGTTAATTAATGGACGAGAAGTTAGGATTGTTGTTGACTGAGATTTGGTTGATTTGCCCATACAAATAACATTGTTGTGTTCACCAGTGACACCGGTAAGTAGGCTAGGTGTGGGTGGACTCTTTCATTATTGCGCTCATGTTCACTCATCCCGTTACACGCAGAATAAGCGTACTACTAGTTAAAAATAAGTTGAGAGAGGTAGAAAACAGCAAGAGGGTAAAATATTTTTGGAAAATTGTGTCAAGACAAGAGAAGATCGAGGGATATTAAGACAATAGTGTTTAATAGGCCAATCAGTAATTGATCTTACCCTGTGTTCGGCGGGTATGGCTGACAGGATTATTGACTGGTCAGTGTCCCTTGAGCCATCCCTGTCTGATCATAGGCACATTGTCTTCGGGTTGGGGAATTTCTGCGGCGAGGTTCGCTTATTCAGGAGCCCAGTTAAAACCGACTGGGCATCCTTCAGAGCTGATCTTCGGGGCAGAATTGCCTCGAACCTGAACACATCTCCTATTAACACAGTTGATGCGCTTGACGAGGCGGCAGATCGTCTAACTAGGTGCATAGTTACATCCTTTGAGGATAATTGTCCTTTGAGCAAGGGAAAGAGCAACAGGGCTAGTTGGTGGGGTCCTGAACTTGCCTCTCTTAGGAAGAGAGTAAGGGCCCAATTTAGGCGAGCAAAGATAACCAATAATTGGGATACATACCATACAACTCTCACAGAATATAACCATGCAGTACGTAAGGCCAAAAGGCTCTCATGGAAAAATTTTTGTGGAAATTTAGAGAGTATCAAGGATACTTCTAGAATACATAAGGTACTTGTTAGAGACAGGCATGTTACTTTGGGTGCCGTTGAGGGACCGGATGGTGTAATGGCTTTTGAACCTACCGAAATACTAAAGGTTATGGTAAAAACTCATTTCCCTGGTTGTATTGTTTCTGAAGTGCAGCAGGAGGAGGTGAGTCCAGAGCGGCCTAACCCGGGCCGTCGTGCCACTCATTCTATGTGGAGCACTGCTTGCCGCATAGTCACCTTCAGCAAGGTAAGATGGGCTGTTGGCTTATTACGACCCTTCAAATCGCCGGGTCCTGATGAGGTAAGACCTGTTTGTTTGCAGGAGGGTCTTGATACAATTATACACCCACTCTGTAAACTTTTCAGAGCCAGCTTAGCGTTAGGACACATTCCCTTAGGGTGGTGTAATTCGCGTATCGCATTTATTCCTAAACCAGGAAGGGATAGTTACACTGACCCTAAGTCATTCAGACCCATTTCTCTATCTTCTTTCTTTCTTAAGATCCTAGAGAAGTTGGTCTCAAGATATATGATGGATACAGCTCTTAGGACACATCCTTTACATATTAATCAGCATGCGTATGTCTCAGGAAGATCATGCGAGACTGCGTTGCACCAACTTGTAAGCAAGATTGAGAAAGCTCTAGAGAGCAGTGAAGTGGCCCTGGGTGCCTTTCTCGATATTCAAGGTGCTTTTGACAATACTGGTACTCCAGCGATTCTTAATGCGGTGAGAGCAAGAGGTTTTCACGGTATAATATGTAGATGGATTGAATCCTTGCTTCTCAGTAGGAAGGTTAGGCTCTCACTCCACAATGATACGATCGAGGCAAGAACTACTCGAGGATGTCCTCAGGGGGGGGTTCTTTCTCCTCTACTTTGGAATTTGGTAGCAGACGACCTTATAAGGACCCTCAACGAAAGTGGGGTTTTCGCCTTAGGTTATGCTGATGATGTTGCAATCCTTGTGGTTGGAAAGTTCCACGGAACCATAACTGACCTTATGAATAGAGCTTTAAGGGTAGTGGACCGTTGGTGCCAGGA